TTCACGGTTCAGGAAGCGGCTGTCAGGCGGTCGGCCGGGTGACGCAACCGCCCAGAAACGTGGGCCCAGAAACCACAGCAGAATACCTCGCATTCCTGCAGCAGTAGGTCAGCGGCGGAGCTCTGTGATCTCAGCTGATTCGTAATTTTCTGACTTCAGCTCCGTTTCAGAGCTGCGAGGTGTTTTGCTGGATAGAACCAGTCGAGGTGAACCTGGATCAACAGGGTTCCTTTTTCTCAAAACCTGCTGTTGTTGCTACATTTTGGATCTCAATCTTTAGCTGGTATCAGATTTTAGACTATTTTTTAGAGCAATTGGGAAGGTAGATTGTGTTCTCTGTTCTTTTTGTTGATAGCACTTGTTATGTTGTGCTTTTCAGTTTCTCTGTCGGTACCGACTCGTTCCAACTCACCATTAAATCTGCAGTTGGTGAGGAACAAGATAACTGTGAAACCACCTTAAGAAAAGCAAAAGGTGTATCTTAGGAGGTGTTTGTGCTCATGACAAGGTTGGTGGACATTCCATTAAAGAGCATATTAGCTTTAAAAAATCGAATATGACGCCACAACACTGTTTGCGTCATTGGTAAAACCCCTTCACAGTACCAGTGACATGTAACTCTGGATGGCATTGCCTCGTCCTCCAGCTCTACCATGAGAAACCACGGAGGTATTTTTGACTGAAGAAAGACTCTAGGATGGACTTTTTGTACCTGTCAAAATCGGTAGCATCGTGTCTCAGAGTCCATCGATTATCTTCCACTTATTTGAGGCAGTAGCTGAAGCAGGTCAGTCCAGAAGTCTCTCTCCCCTTCAATCCCAAGGGGTTCCCAGGCCAGACGAGATATTTAATCCCTCCAGCGATTTCTAGGTCTACCCAGAGTCTTCTCCCAGTTCCTCTAAAAGAAGTTTAGAAAGCATCCTGATCAGATACCCAAACCACCTCAACTGACTGGAACCAATAAATTGGTGACTCCACCCCAAGCCCCTCACCCTATCCCTAAGGCTGAGCCCAGAGACTCTACTAAAGAAGACCACAAAACCTCCACAGAGTTGAACATGCAGGAAAATCTCCAAAAGAAGTCGCCCAAGAAGCATCCTGGTCAGACACCAGAACCACCTCAGCTGACTGGAACCACAAACTTGAGACTTTCGTCTCTGCTGTCGAAACAGTTTCTACTTTTCGGTTGAAAACTTTTCATAAAGTGAAATGCATGCCTCTAACTTTATGTCTTCTCTGTGGGTATCTCTGTCCTCACCAACCTCCCCATTGTTTATTGTCATCTTTTTTGCTGTTCGTCTGTCTTCAGTCTCCTTCAACGCCAGCTTGACAGGTCTGTCCTCCCTGAACCTGGTTCTGTTGGAGGTTTCATCCAGTTAAAGGTGTTTCTTTCCACTGACACCCAACAGCTGCTCAAGCAGAGTCTTTGGATTCGTTGGGTTTCTCTCTATAATATAATATTCTGCTGTCTTTACCCTTCAAGTGCCTCAAGACGACTTGTGTTGCGCTTTATAAATAAAACCGAACCACAGCACACAGATTCATTCAATCATTTTATTAAACTGGAAACTCCTCCATGTGAATAAGGACAATTTTGACAATACAACATTTTACTAGAAACTTTTTTCTGCATATTTTACCCAAAAATGTCTTTTTTCTCTTTTTTGACAGAGCAGATTTTTAAAAAATCCTTGTTCGTCACCGTAACCAGACAAAGATTTACATCTCGTTGCGTCACGCACGATTCACAGGTGCACTATTTCACAAATGAAGGCGCAGACAGTTTCCGCTCCACTTCCAGTTTTTTTGTGCTAAGCTAGGCTAAACAGAATCCACGCAAACTGCAACCAATCGTCAGCTCGTTGTTCTTGTATTTGTCTAACGTTGAGCAACACTAAAAGCTTTTTGTTTCTCTTTTTAGCAGCAATCAGTTCAAAAAGTAGTTTCAGGCTTTAAAAATAAAACAAAAACACAAGCAGAGGTTAGCTGACGTTAAGCTAGCTGATTATACGGATCGTATTAGTGAGCAAAAGTGCGGCTAGTTAGCTTCTGACTAGCGCACATTTAACTTCTGGCTAACTTGTTCTGAGCACAAACTAAGTAACTGCACTTTTAGCTGACAAGTAAAATGTTTAAAAGACGGTTTGTTAAGTGTTTGCGGAAAAAAACAACAAAACATTTGCAGCAGCTAGCAGCAGCAGCAGAGATCCATGTTCATAGAAGAGGTTAAATACCTAAAATAATATTAAACGGAGCAGAAAGGAGAATAAAAAGAAGGCAATGTCATGCTGTTAGCAAAATCTAATTTATTTGTTCATTTAGTACAACAAACCCTCCTTTTAGTGTTAAAAGGCAATTGATTAAAAGTTCCAGCTATTAATTGCTAATTAGTCTTTATCAGCCTTTAGTCTGTCCAGTTTTCTGAGGTTTAAGTCAACCAATACAATTATTTATGCCTAAAATAAATGTCAGCAAATCAAACGCAGCCCTGACGTATTTAGGATGGATATTCTTTCAACATTTTGGTGTTAAGATTGAGTTTTCATACAAATAATTACAAAAACATCACAGTCAGACACGTAATTAGTGTTGTTTTAGTCAGCAGGACTATTATTCTTTTAGCTTCAATCTGCACCGATGACAATTGTGCTTTTTTTTCTTCAATTTAATTTTAACAAATAGAAGAATAAGGCACATTAATGATATAAAAAATCTGCTTTACATGTAGAAAAATGTTGATTTTTTTATTTTTAAAAAAATGTAAATATTGTTGTGTGACACATTAATTTAATTGTTCCAATGAGCCTCCAGTTACAGGCAAAAATTAGGTAATAGGAAGGAGATTTTTTTCAGTGTTTCTCTTCAAAATCCAAATTATGAAGCAGAATTTTGGGATTAAAACGATTTTTGTAGACCCTGCTCTAGTTTTTGACCTCTTTTTAAACACCAAATATTTTCAGGACAGCTGCAGTTTCACCGTTTTAAACGATGAGAATTTAAATTTACACATGAAGCCTGAAAAGAATTCAAAATACATTCAAATATATGACTTCCAGATGATGATAAGCGGCACAAAACTGTCCAGACGAATAAAAATAATCAAATTATTGAGCTTTAAAGTACATTTTTTCCCTCAACACATTGAGTTTGCTCAGTCCTCGTGGCTGTCCTGTACATATATGATGTAGAATTTGAAATATTTAACTTTTTTTCTTATTTGAAGACTCGTGATATCTGCAAAACAAACACCACAGTGATCTAAAAATGGAAGCCTGAACTTGGCGATGCAGTTGAAAGCTCTTAAACTTGTTTGTTCATTTATTTATTTACGTGAGCCGTAATATTTCTCCTTTTATTTGACCGTTTGCTTCCTCACATGTCGGGCCCAGGCCTCCACACCAAGCTGGAAACATCTGGCTCCCGTCACTGTCACCGCGTTAAGTGGCAGTAAATCAGCCAGACGTTCCTCTAAGCACTTTAAACACTGTTGTGTCGAACTGAACAGCTTCTTAAGAGCCTCGGACGCCGGTTCGGCTCGGCCGGACGAGTCTCTGAGTGTTTCGCTGTCAGTTAAACGTTCTGAGCATTTTAAACACTAATAAATCAGCTGCACATTTAGCATTCAAAGCGCTAATATGTCACCTAAACATGCAGTTTGACGTGTTGGTTTGGGTTTTGTTTTACCACCGTTGATGTCGATGTGATTCGCCTCCCTCTGGTTCTGTTTTTTTTTTTGTCTTTTCTTTTGAGCAGTGCTAAAACATCTGATAACTCGACACCACGTCGTGCGTCAGTGTTTGCAGGGCGCGTCCAGGGTTTGTCCGCACTTCCAGCAGCAGTAATGTTGAGAATGAAACGTCCGTCCGTCTTTCGCCGTCAGATAAGACCGGCAGAAGATCAGCTGAGGAGGTTCAAGAACACAGAATTAACAGTACAGCAAAAAGAAATGCTTTTTATCTAAGAACGTGTGCAGGACTCAGATATACGACAGTATTCTGTGGATCAGGTTACATACGGGACATTCACCTGTCTGCAGTCGCTGTTTACACCTGATCTTGTAATAAACCTTTATTTAATGTGTATTAACTTAATGCAACATCACAGACTCACCGTCAGTGACTTAAAGTGAAGGAGACACTTGTACCAATACATGTCGATGTATTTATGTGCTTAAAAGTGTCAAACATTGAATTCACAAATAAAGTAAAAAAAAACCAAAACATTGTGCTGTTTATTTATAGCATGAATAATCTCAGATTAAATTATTTTAGATTAGATTAGATTAGTTTAGCTCAAAATAGAATTAGGTTAGAATAGATTGGTCACATTAGATTATACAAGATTAAATTTGATTATGTTATGTTAGATCAGATTAGATTAGATTAAATTAAATTAGATTAGATTAGATTAGATTAGATTAGATTAGATTAGATTAGGCTAGATAATGCCAGATCAGATTATGTTAGATTAGTTATGTTCCGTTAGATTATATTATATTAGATTAAAATAAATTAGGTTAGATTTTGTTAGATTAGATTAGATTAGGGTAGATTATATAAAAATTACATTATGTTGTATTAGATCACTTTAGATTAGATTAGATTAGATTACATTGCATTGCATTACATTACTTGAGATTAGATTAAATTAGATTAGATTAGATTAGATTAGATTAGATTAGGCTAGATAATGTCAGATCAGATTATGTTAGATTAGTTATGCTCCGTTGGATTATATTAGATTAAAATAAATTAAATTAGATTTTGATAGATTCTGTTAGATCAGATTATGTCAGATTATATTAAATTACATCATGTTGGATTAGATTAGACTATGTTAGATTAGACTACATGTTACTTTGGCATGTGACGGGTGTTTTGTCCTGAATTAAAGTTTGGACAAGTTGGTAAATCAAAGTTATTACAAATATTTTTTACTAAATTTCACAGCAATCAGTCTGATAGTTTTAAAGCATATGTTGTTGGCAGGTGGCCGTTAAATAACTCTCAATACTCTTATATGTCCTATTTACTGTATGTAATAAATTTGATTATTTTCCTGTGTGGTTTGACGTTACTATATTTCATTGCATTGCTCTTCACAGTTTTGTCTGCAGGACTTGAAGTCTCACCTCGTCGCAGCCGGAGCATCGCGGCCAAACCGTCTGACAGTAGTGACGCCCGCAGAGCAGCTTTTGATTGGACCAGAAGTAGACCAGGTCGGCCAATCCCTGGCCGCACTCGGAGCACACGAAGCACGTGGGATGCCACAGGGCGTCATGGTAACCGGCGCGCTCGGCATACACAGCGGGACTCTCCTTAGCAACCTCACCGTGGCAACCGGTGCACCGCTAGAGGGCAGGAGGTGGAAGTGAAAGGTCATGTTGTTGCAGCTTGTGTGAGCACAGAGAGCAGGAGAGGAGCTGACAGATGAGTTTAGGCTGAACTGAAGCTCAACAGGTGACATTAATACACAGTAACACACCCAGTCCTTGTCTACTGGTTTACATTAAAGTGTCTATTGCTGCTAATGTTAGCCACATTAGCCACACAATGTGCTAACACTAAGGATTCTCCCTGTGTTGTGGGGACATTACCATCAATATTAACAGTTAATCCACTGGGTGGATGCTGGGAGTGCATGAGGACTCTTGTGTTCACTCTTACAGCCAGCAGCAGAACATTTGTTGGGTTTTACTCGTAGCTCAGATGTTTTAGAGTTTAGCAGAAGCAGCTGTAGAGAGTAAATAAACCTGGTGGACTGAGAGGCAGCTGCTCGTTCTGATTGGTTCACCTGGAAGCAGAGAGGGGGCGGAGCTACACACATCTTTTTTCCTGATTGCTGTTGGTTCTGTAGTTTATTTGTAAGAAGTGACTAAAATTCTGACACGCTTGTAAAGCCAGGACGCTGTCTAGTGGAGGATGGACCTGAGCAAAGTGTCCTGATGTTCTCACAGCTTTTATTTTTTTAACACCTTACAAGTTTTAAAGACGATGAAAACTGGGTTTTCACCAAATGGGAGCTTTAATGTCTTTTTGAGGTGACTGTAAACTCCGCTGCCTGTGGACTCCTGTATTTGTTTTCCCTTCAGTTTGCTTCTTGGTATTTTCTATGGCAGCAGGAAGCAGCTCCCCATGATACCAACATAACCAGGATTTAATCTTCAGAGTTATTCACTCACGTATTCAGTCTTGCTGTCGTCATCCGTTCCATTGGTGGAACCAGCAGCCGAGGCGGCGCTGCTGTTGGTCGAGCTGTGGTCCTGATGCTGATCCTTCTTGGCCTCCTTGGCCGTCCTCTGAACGGCCGCCTCCCTCAGAGCTCCACCCTCGCCGGGTAAGGCCACCTCCCCGACTCCCAGCGCCTCCTGCTTGTACTGCTTCACAAACAGCAGCATGGAGGAAATCTGCAAGAAGACGGCGGAGACGTCGGAGTCAACTCTGAGCATCGGCATGTGTTTCTGATGACCGCGGCAGAGTGCCTCACCTCGTCCTCACTGGCCAGGCTCAGACACTTCATGGGGTCCTGATCGTAGGCAGGAAGCTGGCTGAGGAGCTGCCTGCGACGCTCCACAGCTCCGTCGGTGCCCGAGACCGGCCGTCGACTCTCTGGGAGGAGCTCCATGTACTGCATCGCCTGAGGAGGTCGGAAGGTTCTGATTAGATTCACAGAAACGTTCAGACTGAGCAGCACATTTCAAATCAGCAGGCTGATTTAAACACGTGGAATTTTTATATTTTATGTTATTTCTGCAAATGTAGACACGCTGATGTCGCCACCTTCAGGCAAAGACAGACATAGCTCCTGATATGTTCATGTTTTAATGTGATGGTTTGGACGTTGTATTAGTAAGAAATACTCGTTAAGCAGAATGTCAAGTTAAATCAGCATATTGGGGATACAAGTGAGGCATTTGTGTGTCAGCAGGATTTTAAATTTGCAGCCCAATTAGATGATGAAGCTTTTTTAAGCGATTTTTTATAGTGTTGAGTTGTTTTTAATTCATAGCAATACATCATGTTTTATATTAGTCAGCAGTGTTAATAGTAACTCTCCTCACTGTGAGCTGAATGCTCTGTAAAGAGCGATAAACACTGGGTTTTACTTATTTAAAATGTATTTATGAGTTTATTTATGTTTTGTTTTTTGTTTTTTTAACCCCCTTACATGACTTGACTGCTGTCTTTTACTGTAGATCCATAAACGCTCAAATGATGGAGGTGCAGCTGTTTCACCTGAGCTTCAAAAATCCAGTTTTATTCACCTTTTATCTGATATAAAAACAATCTACAGCTCAACTCACTTTTATCTTTAAGGCATTTTTCTTTGTAATTTCGTCTTTTTTTTTTTTTTACCTCCAGCTTTTCTGGTTTTAGCTGATTTATTGGCTTTAACTTTTCAATTTGTTTTATTACGTTTTATTAATTTGCCTCGATGTAGTTCACTGTTAAATCTGAGTTTGCATAAAAATTTAACAAATAAAACATTCTCAGATGTAGTGGAGAAAAGTGCAATATAGATTAGAATTAAATGGAAAATACCTCAAAATAAAACGTCCTTATTTACTTAAGCGCAGCACTTTTTCTTAACAATCACTGTTTTCACTTCTGTTGAGAGTTTTAGTCAAAAAATTAAAAAAAAAATTAAACTAAAGCTCATTGTTTGCACCTGGACAGATATTCTGAGCTTTGAGGGTCGAGCTCTAAATCTGTTTAAAGAATCTCTTCATGTTTATAAGAAACGTGAATATCTCCTCCTATTGCTATGAACCTTTGTGATCAACCAGTTTACATTTAGAAATATTAAAAAAGTCAACTTCAGTCAACCTGTTGTTGTTCCTGCATTTATCTGTATATATCCATGATACCGTGGGTTAATTTCAATCTTTTTCTCTTCTTTTTGACTCTTTAGTTTCCCACGATTAAACCCTGAGCTCATCCAACACGTGTGAAGTCGTCATGGTGCCGTCCAGGTGTTGTCGGTGACACATCAGCGTGTCGTCACCACGCCGACATGGTGACTAACGGCTCTGAGCCGCGCCTACAAACAAAAGAGTTGCACTGAACAAGCGAGATGCTGAAGATTTTCTAGAAGCACATCTGGAAAATAGCCTCGGTCGATGTTGCGTTTGGATCTGCCTCTGCAAGCCGAGCCGCAGCAATGTCTGTCATCACTGTAATTACAGGTTGTGAAGCCTGAAACGTACCTCGGTCTGTTTTTAATGGACACCAGACAGTTCAGTGCTGAGAGAAGACTGTGAAATCTACGTTTAACATGCATTTTAACTCAACTGAATCAGTGAAAAAAGTGGGTAATCTCAGTTGTAAACCTGTGGGGGTAAGAATAAGTTATAGCCTAACTGATCTGTATTTGCATTTATTGTATTTTACTAGAAAAGGGAGAAAATATGAGCTGAAACAGTTCACTCATACGAGGATACTTCCAAAAGTTCACCTGGAAACAATTTTGGAGCACAACTGTAAATTATAAAGCCTTATATGACAAGGCTCTATAGCTTATGAGAATGTACACCCAACCTTCATCTTCCGACTTCTATCTGTTTCCCTAAACTGAAACCCTATGTACGTTGCCGCCATTTTCAGAGTGATGATAAACTCATGCATGCTGCGTAGGAGAACTTAAGACGTGACTTTCATCTATGAATGGATAGAAGCCTGAACATTGGTGGACCAAGTATATTGAAGTTAAAGGAAACTATGTTGTACAATAGTGGAAGAACAATCTAAGAAGTTTTGAAGTACCCCCATATAACGTGGTGCCGTCATCATATAGGGTTTTATAGTTTGCAAGGTATGTATACCCAACATGCACCTTCTGACTTCTATCTGTTTCCCCAAACTGAAATCCTACTTGCGTTGTCGTCATTTTCAGAGTGATGATGAAGAGGTCATGCATGCTGTTGAGACGTATCTGGGGGGCCAAGCTGTGACCTTCTTTCATGAAGAGTTGGTGAAGCTTGAACATCGGTGCACCAAGTGTATTAAAGTTAAAGGAGACTATGTTGGAAAACGATGTAAAAACAATCTTTTTCCTGTAACTACTCGTAGTTTAATCATTTCTTGAAGATGTTCCACCTCTCATCCAAGAGGCTTCATCAGTCCTGACTGACTAGTTGGGAGTTCCAGATACTTCTATCCTGAAGGAGCCATTAACACTTGAGGAGGGTTGAGGATGAAATCCATTCACACCTCACCACCAAAGATCTTAACGAACCCCACTGTGGAGGAGGAGCAACAAACCCCCAGTTGAAACCGAAACTCACTAAAAGTTCTAATAACCATGACCTGGAGGACTGAGAATCTTCACAGACACTTTTTCCTCTAACGTTTTCTGGTGAGGCCGAGAACTTTTGAAAGTATCCTCCAAATAAAGTGGTGCTTTCGAGGGCTTTCGACAGCGTAAACATCCATCCATCCATCCATCCATCCATCTACCCATCCATCCATCCATTCATCCATCTACCATCCATCCATCCATTCATCCATCCATCTATGAATTCATCCATCATCCATCCATCCATCCATCCATCCTCCATCCATCCATCCATCCATCCATCCATCCATCCATTCAACATCTGGTATTTTCAGTTGCACCAGTTCGGGTCAAAGAGGCCAATTTGCTGAAGCATCTTCCCAGTTACCAACTTCATAAAGAAACTCCTTCTCACCAGTTTCTGGTTGAGGCCGGCCGGCGCCCAGTCGTACGTCGTGGTGTTGAAGGTCGGGTCTTTGCGTGACACCACCGGATTCGTCACGATCATCCGGTTCCTCTTGTACATGCGAAGGCCGCCGCCTCCTTTGACCTTGGCTGTCAGATGGGAGCAAGGCGAGTCGGCCAGCAGGCGTCCCATCCGCTGGTCGTCCTCCGGGTCGCCACCGGGGGCGTGTTCGACGGTGCTGCGGCCGCAAGCTGTGCACGCTTTCCTGGACAGAGGAGAGAGGAGTTAAGCCCCCGAACCACAAAACCTGATAGCAAAATAAAGCTGCAAAATTAGCCAGAAAGAGTCAAAATTCCAACTTTCTGGTGGTTCTTGAACTAATCGTCTCTGATGTCTGGTTGCATCAGGAAAAATAACTCCATCTAAGATCAGTCGTGTGTTTTTGTGAGGGTGTGTTTTGTTTTTTTGTCTGTTAACAGTCTAGAGCTTTGCAGGAGTCTGAACCTGAACCTTCATACATGACCTCGGTATGGTCCCTGCTCGGAGTGATTAGATTTTGGGGTCAATATATGCATCAGTGACCACTACAGAGGTCAAAGGTTCCCAGAAACACCTCTGTCTGAAGGTAAATGCACAGAAAGACATAACATAATAACTTAGGAAGACACTGGAGGCCTTTAAACTGGTGATGTAACATATGACCTTGAGAAAAAGGTCAAGGTCACGCCGAAGGTCATAAATCATCACAGATTTTAAATCCATTATAACTTGGAAAAGGTTTAAGATAAACATAGTTTCTTACTACAATCAGACAGGAACCCATACTGGTGATGTCACATCTGACCTTGGCTGAAAGGTCAAGGTCAAACTCAAGGTCGTACATCTTAGGGGCTTAGCTGTAGGCCTAAATTACAGCAAAACTCTTCCCCTCCATGCAGACTACCTCTGTTACATGAGCTCTTGTTACGTTGTGGATCATTTTTAGGCAAAACCAATCTTAAGCAGGCGAACAGTGAAACACAGAATCAGGTGAACATGCATACACTGGGCAGCTGTGTTCCTCTACTGAGCTGACGCCTCGCTGGTTGTACATGGTGATGTTTAATCCAAATCTCTAATTTCTACTTTAGTGTCTCACTTAAAAATTCAAAAATCAATTCAGTTCAATCAGATTTCTGCAAAGCGGAGTCTTTTGCTTCAGCTCTCTGTTCTCTGATTGGAAATCTCTTCTTGGAAAACCACCTTAAATGTACACAGCTGTCCATTTATCTCACTGATGACTCAACCAGCAGAGCTCGATGTCCATGTCCAGCTGTCAGTGATCTAACATCGTCCACCAGAGAAGCTCCTCATCCTCCCTTCATAACACGAGGCTCTACGTTACTCTGCAGCTACTATTTTACACTTTCCCCCTTCTAAGAGGTCAACATGCACACATTTCCTCATCATTGGAAGTGCTCTCCCTGTGAGAAACCCTCATTGCAACCAGGTGGAGCTGCTCCCGTTGCATCATGGGATCCCTCTACAGACAAAACATCCTAAACCAGCCGTTCGCTCCTCGTCCAGCCAACACCCATCTGATCCTCGCTCGTTGTTGCTTTACGAGCCGTGGGAGGACTGAGGCTTTTCAGTTTTTTTCAGGCAGAGGGAGAAAATGAAAGAAAAAACATATAAAGAAACGTGGGAGTTCAATACCTCCAAGAATGTGGCTGAAACCCAGAGCAGCTCTCCTGACAGACGAGGCACACGGCGGCGGTGGCGGCGCTCTTCTGCTTTATGGACATCTGAGAGGAGATAAGACGGCGAGAGTGAAGCTCAGCGGTGGAGGACACGTCTGTCACGTCTTATGTTTAAAGCAAACAGTTTAATGGAGTTTCTATTCAAATCTCGAGTCACAGCTTAAGCTTAAACATTAATTTATAAACATTATGAGGAAGTTCTGCAAAGTTCTTGTCGTGTTTCTCAGCTGAGGGACGTCATACAGTCGCTGTCGGACTCATTCTACTCTGTTCTGTCTTCTATTTATTTTCTACTTCTAGAAGCTGCATTTCCTTTTTTGTTCTGAGCAATTTCTGCCACAAGAGTTTTCTTCAGGATGCATGAAGTCTCATCTAATCTCTTAGATGTTTGCCAAACTGAGAACCTTTGCTGTCATTTGTGGGAAAGGTTTGAAGAGTTTTCCAGTTTGTTTCCTCAACAACGTCCCCGAAACATCCTAAAAATATTCGACCTTTTATTCTGTAAGACGCCGTTTGTCATTCGAGGCCTTGATGTTGTCGTCTGTGCAATAAAACCCAATAATCCTGAGAGACAAGCGTCGCTCCTGCAGGGAATAAACGAAGGTTTCACCAAAAAGAAAAGAGTCGGAACCAAACTTGGTGAAAACGTTTTTAAAACGCTGACAGACGTGGGGAAGGAAACAAGTTTTCTAACAGCCTGGAGTGACGATAACGATGAAGAGAGAGAAAGAGGAGACGCTGTTTTTCTTTTTTAAACAGTTATCAGAGAGTCAGTGTGGGAGGAAGAGCACACACACACACACACAC